TTAAAATTATTAGATTTCCAAAGTGCCAGGGACAGTTACAGTGAATGGATGGAAAAGGAATTCTGCCAAGTCAACTGTGTCCAGGATAGATTGAATAATCTATGAAAAAAGAAAAAAAATACAACAAGAATACGTGGCATCAATAAATCATCAGCAGAGGTAAGAAAACAAGTAATTTATAAATATGGAGATAAAAATGTTTTACCTCACAAGTGACCTGGAAAATAAGTCTTGAAACAATAATGCTTTGATACTCATGAGATGGACAGCAATATTTTTTAAGATTGATAACACTAATTGCTGTGAAATGTGTAGAGAGAAAATAATTTCAATCTCCTATTTACTACTAGTTAGTTTAAATCAGTGTGACAGAGCTATCAGAGACTCCGATGATACTTAGTAAAGTTGAAAACCTGTACAATCTGCAGAGCTACTTAGAGACAGATGAGATAAACTGATGTGTGGGAATGCTCATTGTGATGGCGACAAGTTGGAAACAACCTTCATGTCCATCCATAGAGGACTAGAAAATAGAATGTCATGTAATCATGGAGTAGAATTGTACACAGCTTAGGCATGAGTTAAATATGTCTGGCTTCACTGATAAAGAGAACTCTAAAGCCAGTCAGGCTCTAGGGATGGAGTGGGGAGGTGAACAGACTCTGTGTAAGGTACAAGGAGAAAGAGAACCCTGGGACAGCAGGGTAGAGGCAGAGAGATGAGACAGGGAGATGGGAGAGAGAAGGAGGGGGGTGTGGCAGGCCAAACCAAGTATTATACAAATACCATAAGGAAATCTGTTGTTTTGTATTCTAATTAAAAATAGCTAAATATAAATAAAGTAAATTTTAAAAAAGGATGAAAATCACATCTGATCTAATTCTACTTAATTCAAGGGGAAACAAAAACCATCACAGACATTTAATATGTAATTGATAGGTAGGTTGTATAGGAAGACATAGCTGTGTTAACGACCAAACCTGTGAGGAGAAGTGTGTTTTACAAGGAAGACTGTGACTGAGCAGAGGAAAACAGAGGGGCTCCGGGGAGGTTGCTGGTTCCCATCCCTCTCGCTCCTGAATACTTCCCTTCATCCCCTGCTCTCCCAGCAAAGCCCAGCCCGCTTCTCCCCCCTGAAACCTCCAGTTACCTAGCAAAAGCCGGACACCCCGTCTTCATTTTCCGCTTTCTCCTGGGGCAGTCCACTATTAAAGGGTTTGCTATCATACTTCATATTCCATGATGCCCTTCCTTGACCATTTATTTCTTCACTGGTCACCTTTCTGTCATTGGACCCTCTGGCCAGCACCTGTCCCTCTCTCATTTCTCTCTGCGAAATAGACACTTGTCAACTACCAAGAAAAGGAAGGTTTTAAGCCTATAGGGCTTATTTAGTTAGTTAGTCATTAGTTAGTTAGTTAGTTATTATGCAGTACTGGGAGTTGAGCCCAAAGCCTAGCACAGGCTAGGAAAGTGCTCTACCACTGTGCTACAGGCCCAGACCCTAGAAACGGAGGATTTTAGAATCCTGTACCTGAAGAAGAGACATGGGGAAAAGCCAAGTTGTTCACTCTAATTGTCTTACTTTATGGATTTTCACTGACATCAAAGGGGACCAACATGCTGGGTGAGTTCCACTCTGTCTTCCTTGCTTATATATATAATCAATGGTAACTGAAGAGTAGCTCACCAGCTGTGAATCAGGAATACCCATAAAGCATGTCTCTTGGTGATGTTGTTCCCCTTGTGGGATACTTGTAGCCACAGAACATGATCACCATATTAATGGCACAGATTTATCACTATAAATGAACAGTCTGTTGGACAAACTGCAGAGCTTGTGGGGAGAGGTATGTGTGGAGCTAGAGTGTGGAGATGGATGTGGCAAACAGCAGCTATCTCCAACTGATGTGAAAGACTAAGCCAGTTAGCAGAACCACCTCGCCCTCAGAGCTTTAATGGATGAAGTTCAATGAGGACCATCCACATCCCAGCATCCCGAGTGAGCTTGGGGCACAGGGATATTTGAATGAGAGAGATGGGCCACACATCCCAGGGCAAGTTGCCTGAATCATTCCACCTGTCAATTGACCCAAACTTTATGCTTTATGAACTTTCTGCTTTTTACTGTAAACATATTTCACGAACATTTTTATGTGAACATACTTACATTAATAAAACATATTTGAAAATTAATGAATGGGCCATTCACAATCTCATTTTTAAAACAAATTTCTTTTTCCAGTTCTAGATGACTTATAAAAAGAAACAAGCTGACACAGTTTTAATGCTATTTATGAGTGTGCATGTCCATGGCTCAGAACTCATTCCTGTGTTGTAGCTACCCTGGGGCCACGGTTGAAGGGGCTCGCACCATGGCAACATTGTTGTCTTCAGAGGCAGAGGAAAAGAGCAACATGGTGAAGCATGTGCTGTGCTATGGTTTGAGAGGAAACCATTTCTCCTCAAGCTCATGGCTGTGTGTTCCCCTTTGTGGGGAGGGGTGGGGCTTGGGATCTACAGCTGGGCACCACTTTCAGGTGAATCTCTGATTCCTGATCCCCCCCAGCTGTGACCAAGCCCCTGCGGGCACAGTTATGAGCTGCTCCAACTGCTGCGCCTTCTCCACTGTGATTGGCCAAAATATCCTTGTTAGGTTGTCTCTAGCAGGCATTCCGCCACAGCTGTGAAAATAAACTAAGCAATAGGCTTTGGAGCTTATGCTTCTGTAAGGGTGTGACTATAGTTGTGTCCACTCGTGTAGTAGGGGTCACACCAATAGCCATATCTCTACCTGTCAATATGTGATGCCACCAGGTTGTCTGGAGGAGAGAAAGAATCCAAAATCCAATACTTTCAATATTCCAGTGACTTCCCTTGGAACATTCCAAGGTTCAAGACCACCTAAGAAAGATGTTATGTGAGAGCAAAGAAAAATGTCATTTCTACCCTCTCCATAAAACAGAAGAGTGATGTAGTTGACATTAGATTAAATTACCTTGCCAGTGATATAGTTGACATTAGATTAAATTACCTTGCCCATGCCATAGTTTCATGTTCATTATTATCCCCAACCAAGTGCATTCATTGTCTGGTGTTGGTCTTTTCTGGGTTTTGGCAATGAGTGGAATTTGGAAATGAATGGAATCCTAGAAACAAATCTGCCTGTCACAGCCATGGTTTCAGCCACAGAAGGTGTCTTGCAGTTCACAAAAAGCTGAACCCAATCTAAGTCGAAACACCAAGAGGGCCAGTGTCTTAATTCATTTGTCACAAAGTTTACAAGGGACCCCTTCAAACCAGTTAACAATTAGAAGGTGATATGCCTTCCTGTTAGCCAGTTAATGAATGGCTTCTTTTGGCTAGAGATGGTGTTGAACTTTAATCTCGTCCCCAAAGAGCTCCAAAAGAATGGGAGAATGCTGTTCTACGCACATGAGCTAAGTGAGGATGGCCATCTTGTTTCCCACACTCAGGCAGTTTGAGTCACATGACAGCTAGTTGTGTCCACCTTCCAATCTTTAGTTGTCCACTCCTTCCCAAACATCTTCATTTCTACATGTTGGCTTTTTTTTCCCCCCACTAACTGGTATTTGCGAATGGCCACTGACTGACTCTTGCTTGAATTAACTGTCTCTGTCAGTCTGTGGAGGTCAGCCCTGGAATGCAGGATGTTTACTTTCAGGGTCTGTGATAGATAGTGTTCAGCACTAGCTCAGGTGAGGATGCTCAGCACTGGCTCAGGTGAGGATGCTCCTGGAGTGAGACAGGCAGGAACACAGATGCCACGAGACATTTCTTGACTGAATTCTCTCTCTCTCTCTCTCTCTCTCTCTCTCTCTCTCTCTCTCTCTCTCTCTCTGTGTGTGTGTGTGTGTGTGTGTATGTGTGTGTGCATGTGTGCATGCATGTGTGTGCATGTGTGTGGTGTATGTATGTGTCTGAGAGACAGACAGACAAACAGACAGAGAGAACACATGTGCCATGGTGTACCTGTGGTACCAGAGGGGAACTTTATGTGTTGTTTTCGTCTTCTGCCTCGTTTGAGGCAGGCTCTCTTTGTCATTCACTGCTATACACACCAGGCTAGCTTGCCCATGAGCTTCTGGAATTCTGCATCTTCATGTCCTGTCACACCATGGGAACACTGGACTTTCAGATGTGCATCGCCACGCCCAGCTTTACATGGTTCTGGGGATCTGAAGACAGGACCCCATGCCTACATGGCAAGCACTTTACCTGCTAAGCCATCTCTCCATCCCCATGAGAGTTCTAAGTAGCAAGTGGGGGGTGGTCTCATTCTAAATCTCCCAGTGCACACGTGCAGTCTCTGAGCTAAGTCATGTAGTCTGAAAGCAGCAGAACTGACTGCTAAGGGATTCATCAGCTCATCTGAATGCTTCCCACCAAATCTATACCAAATGGGTGAAACTCACAGTTATACGCTAGCCGCTAGCCAGAGACACACTTAAGGAGAAGGTGGAGATGATGTTTGGATAATTTACTTTGAAGAAGTCAGAAACTGATTCCACTCTCCTCTCAGATTCAGAGGGAACGGTGACAAGCATCTCCTAATAAGACTTCCCGACTCGTGACCCAGCTGGACCCCATTCTGAGCAGGGTCCTGCACGACCTCGGTAGACAAAATGAACCAAGTATAGGATTAGCTCAGAGGATGATTTCCTGCTCAAAATACCATTAGCCCCAATTTCAGGCCTTTGCAAACAGCACTTAGGGCCTTTCTGAGCCATTAGAAGGCTTTTTAGGCCCAAGTATGAAACAGACAGTAGTCATTGCTATAAATCCCAGGGATGAGCTGGCTGCATTAGGACCCAAATTACAGGCTTGGGGAAACTATTTGCTAAGAATCCTGCTAACACATACTGTTGGTTGGACAGAACCTCAGGAACTTTAATCTAATTATGATAAAAGCGCATTCCTGAGGGGAACGGGGGTCTGAGAGCAGAGTTGGTTGGCTTTCTTTGAACAAGGAGAAAGAATTCTGTGATCGCTTTATTGGCCTAGTAAAAATCGAGTCAATACAGAAGTCAGTGATGGCCTGCTTCTTCTGGTCAGAGAACCCAGGAGTCACTGTGCTGCCCAGATATCTCTGAAGAATGTCTGCTTGTTGAAGAAGAGAAGCGGGAACCCATCTCTGCTCCTTCCAACAAATCAGGCAAGAATGGAATGTAAAGAAGCAGCATTTTTCCTAACACAGCTTCATCCTGCTTAAAAAGTTAATTGAACCCAAATGTGTGAAACCGTGTATAAGTGCACATTTCCAAACAATTAGAGAAAATGTCACACTAGTAGTCCCTGTAGGCATGGACACTCGGACTGCAGTTCATCGAAACTGAGCTGCTGGTTAAAAACACGGACTCCGAGGTGGGGAAGGAGAGCCAAGAGAAGCACAAACTGGAAAGGACTCAGCCCCTGGCTGTCACACGGCTCTGGCTTTGGAGAGATACTGGTGTCGATCCTAATCAGTTCTCACTGATGTATCCAAGGACATGTCAGATATGTTTAAATGGTTCTTCTTGACTATGGAGCCAGGGTTACTTGCTGCTTCCTTTCTCCTTGTAGCTGCAAAAGAAAAAAAAAGTGAGAAGGAGAAACTTGTCCTTCCGGCACTTCCTGGAGTCACACAACTAAATGACACCAAGAAGACACGTTTCTGACACAGTTGGTTGCAACCCAGTCCCTCCACAGCGTGAGTTGGGGTCCCAGGCCATCTGTGATGGCTTCTGAAGCAGGGATGATTTGGAAAGGTTGGAGCGGGGGGTGAGGGGTCGTGATCAGGTCTGAATGAATGAGGCCATGGCTGCTGCAGCCTGGAGTGTGGCAGCCTGGAGTGTGGGGTGTACTTGCTCTGACCTCCAGGCTAGGGTCTCCCTGAGGTTAGATCTCATCCAGGGTGTAGGGACTCCTGAGCCAGGCATCTCAGGCTCAGGGCAATGCAGGACAAAGGCTCTGTGTCCCCATCCCCTTCCTTCTCCATGCTTTATGTCATGGGCCCCGGGGAAAAACGACAGTCCTTCTGACATTCTTTGAGTGCTCTTCAGGACATCCTACCCCTTGGTTGGTGGTCTCCGGCCTCGTGCTAGCAAACCTCTCACTTTGGATCCAGCAGAACACGTGCATCTTTACCGCCGCTGCATACTGGTGGATCCTCTTTCTCTCCCTACACCACAATTAATTTCATTCTGCTAAAAAGCCAATTGAACCCAACCATGACTGACTTCATGGTCTTGATGGAAGAATAAAGCCACATTTTCCTGGACCTCAGTTCACCACATCAGCTACTTTCAACGGCCAGGAATGTACTTGAAAGTTGTCTTTAGTCTATTTTCTGTGGCTGTAAAAGAAAATAGCCCACACTGAGAAATTCATAAGAAAAGAGAGAGATGTATTGACCTCCTGCCTCTAGAGGCCAGGAAATCTGAAAGTGTGGCACCACCGTCTCAGAGGGCTTCCTCTGGGGGGTCTCCATGCTGCATCATAACACAGCAGGAGACACAGAAACAACACCTTACAAGAGAGAAAGCCACAGTAACCCAGCCTGCATGGGGCACCTTTTAAAGGGCCCACCTCCACTCTGCACTGTTATATACTGGAAGCAAATGGCAACATGAGCCTTGGCTGAGACACACCACACCCAAACCACAACAAAATTCAACCCTCCTTCCATCACCGGAGAAAGCCTTGCGTCTTGCTGGGGAAACGTCTCGAGCTGAGTTTATTTGCAGGAAATCTGAGGTGCCAAGTAGAATCACAAAAGACAAATCTGGCAGTGGTCTCATGCATCCTGGAATCTCTTGTTGGACTTTCTAACCTGCTCCATGACTTGTCAGTGTTTCCTGTTCCGAAATCACAGTGGTCTCAGGAGATTTATAACTTATCTTATCGTCTGGTAGAACAAATTCTGCTCTCTCATGCCCTTCCATTCCACTGCTAGTTTTGTTTGCAGTTTTCTAAGCTATGGTTTTATGGTTACTTCTGCATAGACACCTTAGTACCAACATTCCTCCATTGAAAGATATTTGCTAGTGTTCTCATTGGGGTGGCCAGACTTTGGAGTCCACTTCATCTCAGAATATTCAGCCTCTGACTTCACCACTGCCAACTACTGAACCCTAAGATATTAGTTTCCTCGGGTTGCTAGAATAAACTTCATTAACTGGGCAGTTTAAAGCGGGAATTGATTCACTATGGTTCTGAAGGTGAGACATCCCCAAACAAGGTGTTGGAAGGCCCCCTCCCCCTTCCGCAGAGGACCCTCCAGAAGATTCCCAATTTCCTTTAGACTTCAATGTTTGCCTGTGGCCCTTCCCAGCATTCCACTTTCCCCCTCAGCTCAGGGTCACTTGCTCTCCCCATGAGCACAGCTGCCATGTCTTTACTTGGGCTTCTAAGGACCCTGGCCATCAGGTTTCCGATTCCCCCCCACATCCACTATGACCTCCTGGTAGTCAATCACAGTTGCAGAGCCCTTCTTTAAAATCAAAGCCCTCTGTGAGAGTCTGCACTGATATGACTCGGGGGCGGGGTGAGGGGGGGTTGCTGTGCAAGCCAGGTAAGGGCTGACTTTCTGTCAGTTACCTATGGCAGAGAACTAGGGAGATCCAGGCTGAGCCTTCTGCCTGCTTCTGCTCCTGCCCGCACTGTCGTGCTGATGGCAGGTGTCTTCTCAGACTCAGCATCTTCCCACAGGAGCTGCTCTTAGTGTCCTCGAAGTTCCAAACATCCCAGCCTGTGACTCTATAAGTAGTAGATCTCCTGTGGACATCATTTTCTTCCTTTTGGGGTAGGGATTGTATTACCTTTCTCACTGATTAACGCTATTCTCCTGGGCTCTTTTGCATAGTATCTTCCAAGTGGTCAGTCATGTCAAGATGAAGTCCTGAATCTCTCCTTTCCCACCCACGGCTGTCAGAGACGAATTGAAATGGACCATGAATGCAAGCTTCGTACTTTCTATGAGGAGTTCCTGGCCACAGAAATAGCTGCTGATGTTCTGGGTGAAAGGTGGAAGGGCTGTGTGGTCTGAATCAGTGGCAGGAATGACAGACATGGTCTTCCTGGGAAGCAAGGTGTCATGACCCACAGCAGAGTACACCTGCTGTTGAGTAAAGGGCATCCTTGTTCTATATTGAGAGTCAGGCTGATCCAAGGCTTTCTCAGAAGCCCTGATGAAAGGACAAAGGGAACATTAGTTCTGTGTCCTTACCTAGGGGAAGACTTGGCAAGGTTTGGTCTGATCCTGGAGCCAGGGCCTTGAAGGAGTTAAAGTTTTAGTTCCTGGGAACTTGGCTTGTCCCCTGAAGAGACTGGATTTATGGGTGCCAAGGCCATTGTGTGTTCAGTCTCTGACAGCCTTGAGATATTCTGGGTTCCTCTTCTTCAACATTGTTTCATTAGCTTCCTACTGACTCTGTCCCATTTCTTCCCTAAAAACTGCATAAAAGATGCTACACTTCTTAATAGGCTTGCTTGGCATAGTCATAGCTTTGCAAGACCTCCCAACCCCAGATTTTCTGTCTTCTTTACCTTCTCATCTCCTGGCCACCTCCCCTTTCAGACTCCATCACTGAAGAATGACCTGCTGACCCAGGTTGGTTAGAGACCAATGAGAACTGGGGAGAGGAAGCACAAGTCTGTTTACAGATGCATCGTGGATGCCAACCTGAGTGTTCTCAAGCTGGTTGTTGTCATAATAGGAAAAAAGGGTATTCCTGGACCGACAGATAGTGCTATGCTTCAGTGATGGGAGCCAAAAGACAGCAGAATCCAAAAGCTTTCCAATTTCTCTAAAGAAGACAATGTCCACCAATACATCATCAGAAAGCCCTTAAACAAAGAAGGTAAGAAGCCTGGGTCCAAAGCAGCCAAGATTCAGCATCCTGTCATTCCATGTGTTCTGTAGCACAAAGGTCAACCTATTGCTCTGAAGAAACAATGCACTAAGAAAAACAAGGAGGAATCTGCAGAATATGCTAATGTTTTGGCCAAGATAATGAAGGAAGCCAAAGAAAAATGGCCAGAAGAGATTGCCAAGGCTGTCTTCACTGAGAGCTTCTGTTTCTGAGTCTGGTTAAAAATAAGCATTTGACAGTAACAAATAAATTAATCAGGGCTTGAATCTCAATAAAATAAAATAAAATGAAGCTTTTGGGTCAGTGAGATGGTTCTGCCTGCTGTTGTATGACACTGTCCTTGGGAAGATCTGAACAAATGTGTTCTCACTTCAGAGGGGAAACCCATGAGAGACCAAAGTCCACAAGCCACCGAAGTCCACTCAGTGAATCAATGAGTTTATTGGGGTTACGTATGGAGTATGGGTGAGGGGTCACTTACAGGAGCATAAATGACTCCAAGACAGCTGCATCACCAAGGTCCACCTCAGCACGGTGACAGCTCATGAGAGCTGGAAACCTGAAGTGTACTGTCCAGCCTGTAGGCAGCTCAACAGGTTGAAGAGTGTCTCTTTCTGGCCTATAAACCTCTTGCTTGTAGCTCGGCTGATCTCTGCTTCTTGTAGGTGGAGAGCTAGTTCAGCTTGTCTAAGAGTGTCTCTCTATAATCTTTGCAGCTTATGCACGCTTGTGGGAGGAACACTCTAGTGCATCCCATCAGTTTCAGGGACTTCCTGAAGATTTTGAGTTGTTTCCTTTCTGAGCTTAAGGAGCTTACCTGCAGGAGACCTTAGGGTATCTTGTGTTTTAATAATGATCTTCCCTCCTAAGATGTATGGCTTTGTCATGGAGAAAATTGCTAGGCAACAGAGACGAAAGCACCAACTGACAAGCCTTATGACCTGAGTTAGATCCCTAACCCCACATGGCTGAAGGAGAGAACCAATTCCCACCAGTTGTCCTCTGACCCTTCACACACGTACCATTGGATGCATGTGTCTCCCAACAAATAGATACATATGAAATAACTAAAAGATATTTTTCTACTACAGCTATATAAGTTGTTGGTGTGGGGGAATGCTCCCCTTGTTCAGTATTTGTCGTTCAATTACTCCCAAATTGCAAAAGATATGTAGTTTCATTTAATTGTCAATTTTCTTTTATGGCTGTTGTTTTTACTACTATAATAAAGGTCTACAAATGCCTGATTGAAATGAGAATTAAAAATCCATTATATTTATAGATTGGTTTTGAGACAATCATAAGAACTCGGTAAGTTCAAATTGTTTTGTGAATTTTAGTTTTTGGAAGTTTGTGCATCACATGTATTGTATATTTTTATAATTGTACATCATTAGTACAAATGCAGATCTGGATGCACATTTTAGAAAACTATAAAGTAGAATAGAACAAAAATGTGAAAATATATCCTACCATTCACAGTATCCCATAAACATCTAAGTGAATTACTTTTTAGACCTTTCATAATTTTGTGGCAAAGCAAATTCATATTGAACACATTGTTCTCTTTATTAATATTCTTAAGTTTTTAATTTTTCATCTTATCTGTGGTTCACCCATCTCCAGTTTCCTCCAAGTCATTGGCAGTTCCTTCTTTACAAGATTCTGTCCATCTACACCTTCTATCTATTTGCTATGTCCCTTCGGACTCTGTCCATAGCACTGCTCCTTAAGACCAGCCATCCTCTACTCACTCCTTCTCCGTGGTTTGCTGCCTCCTTGTTTTCCTATCTGTTGGCTGCTTCTCTAGCCCAGGTACATCCACAAAACCAGAGTCAGACAAAAAAAAAAAAAAAAAAAAAAAAAGTCATTGTCTCACGGGCAATTATTCACCATATGATCTGGTAATTCACAGAATTATCTGATAACTCATGTTATTGACTCCCCAACTCTGATGCTCAGGTAAAACAATATACTAAGACCAACTACTGGATTTGTGTAAATATGACTTTGATTCATTAATTGCACAAAAATAAAATCACCTCTAGTGATTGGGCTGTGGGGTGCATTACTCAAAACTCTGGTCTCTGCCAGTGGTTCGGGGATTGTCTCAGTGCTGATTACTAACCCTTCCTGAACTAGCAATTTCATCAGGCTCCATGCTTTACTGCTTTAAATGTTCTTCTGTTTATCAGCAAGAACCTTTCCCTACAGAAGTTTTGCTTGTTAGCCATCATTATTTATCTTTAAACATATTTTATTTCCCCCCTTTCTACTAACTAGTTTTCTTCAAAGCAAGAGTTTGCTTGTTTTATTTCCCTCCTTTCTACTAACTAGTTTTCTTCAAAGCAAGAGTTGGGTGATACATTATCTCAAGTCAGTACCCATGAGTTTACTGAATGACATTTTTAGTATCTTTATGATCCACAAACTGTCAAGGTTTTAACATTGAATTCACTATAATATCATTGTAGGCATTTATTTACATATTTATATTTTAATATACATAAGCAAAGTATTGGATGCTTATACCACAAAGGACTCCATTTGTGATCAGACTAGATTCCAAATGATAAATCTGAAGTTTATTCTCTTAGAAAGTCAAAGTACAATTATAATTATAAATACTATTGCTGAAATTCAAATTATGAGACCGGAGAGATGTTTCAGTGGTTAAGAGCTCTTGCTGCCTTTGTGAAGGATCCAGGTTCGATTTCCAGCACCCACATGGTGGCTCACGATTACCTGTAACTCCAGTTCCATGGGTTCTGAGGCCCTGTTTTGTCCCCTTCAGGACTGAACAAACCGAATGACCCCACATATCCAAAGGGGAACACTCATACATGTAAAATAAAGTAAAACAAAATAATTAATAAATAAAATAGCATGATAAACTAAAAAGAAACTCAAGGTCAGCAAAGTGAATGAGATTTTGTTATTTAGTCTCTGTGGTATGCAAGGTTATATGTGTGAAGTTATTAAAATAGATGCTTGTATGCAAAAATCATTCTTCAATAAGATGATAATCTATGGGTTAATATGGTGATATATTATGTCTCCCAATATATTGTGCATCCTAATAAATTTATCTGGGGTCAGAGGACAGAACAGCCACTAGATAGACATAGAAGCCAGAAAATGGTGGCATACATGCCTTTAATCCTATCACTTGGGAGGCAGAGCTCCACTGTATCTCTGTGAGTTTAAAGCCACACTAGAAACAGCCAGACATGGTAACTCACACCTTTAATCCCAGGAAGTGATGCCAGAAAGCAGAAAGGTATATATGGTGTGAAAACCAGGAACTAGAGCTAGTTAAGCTTTTAGGCTTTTGAGCAGCACAGTTCAGCTGAGATCCATTTGGATG